ATAGAGGGTGCTGCAGGAAAACCACACAAATGGAAGAAATATTGCTTAGGGATTAATTTCTGTCATTTGATTTGTGCAAATACAGAAGGTTAGGGTTTATCAAGATTAAAAGGGGACTTTTTCAATTTCCCTAAATTGTTGTTTTCGTGAGAAGGATGTCTCTTCTAAGTTGTTACAAAAGCTCATCGATGTGTTAGAAAATCATCAATGTGTCTTTCATTCACATTCTAAGCTCTCAACACATTTGAGTTGTAAATGTATATATTTACACAAGGCATTTACAAAGTTGAGGCAGTGTTATGGTGGGTAAATGTCCTTAAAAGCAGATGTGCTTTCATGCTCCAAGATTAAACCGAAAAGCTGCTAGGAAAAATAGGTACAAAATAATACGCCATATAAATAAGCAGGAAAAAAATGCACCCACTTACAGCCACAGGCTGAGATAAAGAAGAATATCAGCAACATCAACGAAAGATTTCAACCAATGTATGTTCGTGTAGAATGTGTGAGCCATATGTAACGTTATTATATATGTCCTCTAGTGTACATTTGGCACTGGAATTTGCCATTGGTCCAGCAATTGGCAAAATTGTTCCTAGATAAAAAGAAGATGTACAAGTTCCTGTGTTCCATCTGGGTGAGAAGTCTTTAAGCTATAAAAATATTTATATTGTGCTCTCCCTTAAGATTACCAAGTCCACAGTTTTCGGAAAATTCTTCAGAAGAGACACTGCAGTTTCATGCTCCATGTGTAAGAAACTATGTCCGTTGGCCTGCAATGCAAGAATGAAGCACATAGTAAACAAAATGAACTGGGAGAGGTGTGGAAGAAAGGAGGAAGGGAGGGAGGAATGGAGGGGGGCAGGAACAGGCACGGCAGCACAGGAGGGCTGGGAGCAGGCCTAGCTCAAAGAGGATAAAGAGATATACACTGTGAGGGAGAGAAAAAAGAGAGAGATGCACACGGGAGATCATGCTGTAAAAGGAGAGAAGGTGGAAAGAAGCTGGTCTTTAACTCTGGATCTGTGGAAAGAGAAGGAGCTGCTTTCTGCAGACCATTCTAGTGGTGTAGACTGACAGCAACACATAAAACCAGAGACAACCCAATAACTTCCCATGAAGTTGTTTAGGCACACAGAGGCTGGATTGCCCCTGTATAAGTAAGGCAGCAATGCCAGGCTTTTTGCTTTTGGCAAAATATGTAGACAGATACTATCTGAACAGCAATTAATAGGCTTGGATGATGATGATGATGATTGCATGGCACTTTATATGTGCTTTTATTTATTTATTTGGAAATGTTCTGCATAAAACGAATATTACATACAATTGAAAAGGTTTACTAGAATTCAGTAAGATTTATTTTAAATTCAAAATTAATTCAGTAAGGATGCATTAAACTAATAGAACGTTCAAAAGAATAGCATTTAAAACTAATAAAAACTGTAATATTGTTAATAATATTAATAATATTTAATTAGTAATTTTTGGGAGGTGAAGGTATATATTTCACTACACTTTAAAAAGACCAGATTCAATCTGTATCGCAAAGTTAAATGTAAATTGAGATAGTTGGTGGTGTGGATTAGTCTGTTTGACTGATTTACATTGATTTTGTAATATATGATTAATAAAATTCATCAATTTATATTTTATAATGTCAAATATATTTCATGCCATTTAACTGACTTACAAGACAAAATGTTATAAAAATCTGTTTTTTAAAATCATAACAATAACGCATGTCAAAGTAGGTCAAACATAACAAAAGAGGTCCATGCTCACTTGTTTGAGACACAAACATACACGCACACACATACACACTGGACATTTAATGGCACATGCAAAGCCCTCCACTGGCAGTGTGGCGGAAGATGCATTGTCGCAACTTGTGGGACAATGTGATGGAGAACATTGTTACCTTCAGAATTTTGTCCCCTGGTCGAAGAACGTTGGAGGCAGGTCCATCAGGCTGTACCCTAGTAACAAAGATACCCTATAAGTCAAAAGTGATATGAGGTTAGGAACCACATGGTGACTATGGTTTAGAATCTTTGCCTTTTAATCTGGATTTAGATTTTCTTTTGTTTCTCTCTCTTTTTTCTAATAAATTCAAAGGCAATCTATTAAATAATTACCTTCATCTATAAAAGTATTACCTTTTACAAATAAATGCAAATGTTAAACTGAAAAACAAATGTAAAAAGATGAATTTATTTTTAATTTTTTGTCAGTGACACTGTCTTTGTGCTGGAATCAAGGCAGAGATTTTAAAGCATAAAGATTAAAATTACATGTGGGACCCATCAGTATGCGCCATGTCAACACATATCAAGTCTTATTATTGGTGCCACATGTTGAGAGTCCACCAAACTTTACATCATTTCTTCAGGGCTCACAGGGATTCGGCTTGTTAGAAGAACCCCAAAGCAACAATACACAACACAAGCAGTCTTTATGCTATGCTGAAAACCTTATGGGGAAAAAAGAACAACACTTTTTCATGCAAATCTAAACAGTATGATATTAATACACATTCCTAACATACAGCTACACATGAAATGGAAACATGGTCTTTTTCCTTCTGCTTCAGCAACATCTGAGTCACAAAACACTTTTGTTTTAACTATCGCCAAATGTTGCCAAGACATGAAAAGGTTAAAAGGTAATGCAGTCAGCTGGTGTGCAAGGTTGTGCATTGCAGTAGCGCATGTTTCCATGGTAACTCTACTGAGAGACACACTTTACTAACTGAAGAGAGATGGCTTTGATTTTGTTCTATATAAAGCATCATTCTAATGTGATTTCTGAGAATGAAATGCTGAAATTAGCATATTACATTATGCTCTGTCCTTTAAAACCGAGAGTGAAATGGTCTTACCATGTCCGAGGGCTTGAAGGGGTTCCCCTGTCCACTGATTCCCCCTGAGATGCTGAAACCAAGGCCAGGGTTCTTCTCGATCCTCACACAGAGCTGTCAACAACATAAAACAGAATTTCAGGTTTAAGGCTACGTCTACATTCATCTGGACGCATTTGAAAATGCATCTCTTTATCTGCGTTTTGGCCTTCCATCCACATTGAGACATTTGTAGACACTACAGCTTTTTGAAACACTTTTCCCAAGTGGATCAATTTGAAAATGCCATTTTCGTGTTGTAGTGTCGACTGTGAAAATGGAGGTATTTGAAAACGATGATGTTTAGTCTTTTGACGCATAGTGTACTCAAAGATATCTATGGTTATACAAGCATTGCTACAGAATAACAAAGGTAATTGCACATTTTTATCTCACAATTCAGTCACTTTATTTTGAGGTCCAATTCTCACCATTAACAAACCATTAACTAATGACTTTTGCCTCAAAAAACTCCTAATTTGCTGATTATTATACAGTATGTGCTTTAAAAGTACAAATAAACAGCCAATAAGTTAATAATATAAACTCACAATTCTGAGAAGAAAATGGTCAGAATTGAGACAAAAAGTCAGTTACCTTTTTATTTTTATTTATAATAATTTATCATTTATAATAATAATAAATTTATCATTTATCAGACGCTTTTATCCAAAGCGACTTACAGTGCATTCAGGCTATACATTTTTTACCCCGTATGTGTATTCCCTGGGAATCGAACCCACAACCTTTTGTGCCGCTAACGCAATGCTCTACCACTGAGCCCCAGGAACATTTCATGGCAGAAACAAACAAACAAAACAGAATTGCGAGATATAAACTTAGAAAAAATAGAAAAATTGTGAGAAAAAGTCAGAATTTTGATTTTAGATCTCATAATTCTGATGTTTTTTTTATTCTCAGAATTGGGAAAAACAACGTCCAAATTGTGAAAAGTCACAATTTACCCTTACAGGTAAACCAATCATAATCTGCCATTTTTGTCTGACATACAAACCAGACCGGTTCTTCTGTAGCCTGACGACGAGTAACTTTAACCGTTGTTCATGTGAACTCAGGCTCCCCCAAAGTCCACTGTATAGTTCGAACACTGCGGAGAGTAGATTAATGTTGGTGGACTTGAACATCAAAAATGGTGTTTCGACACATTAAAGAGCCACAAAACGGTATTTATTGTTTTAATTTCTTTAAAAAATGACAACATTTGAAACTGAGACTTTGAATTTGAGACCAGAAGTAGCCTGCTCTGTTTTGTCTGTCAGCGTGTTGTCAGTTTTCTCTTTGCTCCACAGTGTATTTTTCACTGCGTGAGAACATAATGTGTGGGATAGACATAGCAACAGTAACGAAGGGGGGCAGGTCTTTGCAAAGAGTCAATTACCTTTTTATTTCTTTATTCTGTGGCAGAAAAGGGCTTCCATAAATTAGATTTTGAGATTTTAGTGTATATAGTGACTAGCGATTTTGAGTTTGACCTTGGATATTTTTCTAATAAAATGATCATGTCAAAAGAACAGTGCAAGAACTTTAATACTGTATGTTTAGTCTCTCTGTATCATTTTAGTGAGCTTTTATTACCATTTACATGTGCGCAGTAAGATGATTTAAGTGTTTTCTGATGTTCCAGTGTGGACAAGCAACTTTTGGAAAATGCTAGTGTGGACAGAGCATTTTGAAATGGAAAATGCCATTTTCAAATGTTTCCGAATTAAAGTAGATATATAGCCTTAGTCATAAGAAGTAAGAGATTCAGAGTTACCAACCCTCTGAATATTTGAAGAACAAGGAAACATTGAATTGACATCCCATGATTGCAACATGAATCTTAATTGACCCTTCACAGGAAGCTTGATTGATTGACAGGCGATCTGACCAATCATAACGCCAAATCTGCCATTTTGTCTGACAAACAAATCAGACAGGAGAGTAGATTAACTTGGTTGGACAAACTTAAAAAATGGTGTGTATTGACGTCTTTCCACGGCTGAAATAAAATACCTTCTGATCATAGGCGAAGGGTGAACCGACTCCAGGGTAAGGCTAAAATTTGCCTAATGTTAGTGTAATCTATGAACACGCACATCATATCCCCGTCTCTTCAAGAATCGACTAAAAACACATCTCTTCCATCTTAAAAAAAAAAAAACACGTCTTGGTTACGTATGTAACCCTCGTTAACTGAAGGAGGGAACGGAGACGTCACGTCGTGACCGACGAATTGGGATCTCTCTTCGAGAGACCAATCTACTTCGAGTGTAAACTAAATGAGCCAATGCACATTGGCATGCGATGATTGCATCGAGCTGCCGCTGATGACAGCGTGAGCATAAATAGGCAGCAGGTGCAACGTATATTAGGTTTTCGCTGAGGAGCCGAGCTGGTAACTCGGCCACCCAGCGGTGGTACAGCAGCCGTGGTGACAGGACGTGACGTCTCCGTTCCCTCCTTCAGGGAACGAGGGTTACATACGTAACCGAGACGTTCCCTTTCAGTCGGTCACTACGAGTCACGTCGTGATGGAGCCAGCGAGACGCGCCGGGTAGCGCTAGCCAGGCATCCCAGATACCATGCAAGCGGGACTAGCGGAACCACCGCCGTACCCGCAGTGGGGCAGCGAGGTGGAACGCATGGACCCGGTTCGGGCAGCTCGTGGGTGGACCGAAGAGGGGTCTGAGTGTGTGGTGCAACACTTACCTGGTTCCACAGCTGGGCAGAGGGTGCGTGAGTAGGGCCTTTGATGATGCTCTCGAACCGCCCGTTGCTGCCCGCTGGTGACAGAGGAGGATGAGTGTGGTCCGGTGTTGGTTCGTCCATGACTCTCTGTGCCCTCTTGGGACCCAGAGATAGAGGAAACTGCTCTTTTGTCGAGAATTTGGCTGCCATTGACCGCGAGGCTGACGGCAGGACAAAACAAAACAAAAGATTCTCCACCCGGCCCTCCTCCGGGGGAGGGAGTGGTGCGCTCACCATCTCCCGAAGAGCAACTTCCTCCATCCCTGGGTCGCCCATCTCAGGGCCGCTTGCTCTTCCGCTTACCACCAGGTTTGATGGGTGCCTGGATGGGTGGGGCGCGGGAGCAGGGGCAAATGCAGGGGGCCGCCCTCGGCAATGAGCAGGCTGGGGCGCTGCGGCCGGGTGGAGGCAGCAGCTGCCCTCTGGGGCAGGATGTGACGAATCGCCTCAGTCTGCTTCTGCGCAGCCGAGAACTGCCTGGCAAAGCTCTCGACCTCATCGCCGAAGAGGCCGGTCTGGGACACAGGGGCATTGAGGAACCGATCTTTGTCGGCGTCCCTCATGTTGGCCAGTCACAGCCAGAGAATGGCGTTCCTTGTGGCATTCACAAGTGTGGACATCGCACGACCCAGAGAACTCGCGGTGACCTTTGTCACTCGGAGCGCGAGGTCAGTTGCAGTTTGGAGCTCTTTCAGAACTTCCGGATTGCGACCACCCTTGTGCAGGTCCTTCAGTGCTTTGGCCTGATGAACCTGCAGTAACGCCATAGCGTGTAAGGCGGAAACAGCTTGTCCACAAGCCGTATAAGCACTGCCGGTCAGACCAGACGAGTGCCTACAGGCCCGGGAGGGGAGCGACAGGTTTCCCCGCCAGGAGGAGGCGGTATTAGGACACAACTGCATCGCTACCGACTGCTCCACTGGGGGGATCCCCGTATACCCCTTAGCTGCACCACCGTCGAGAGTGGTGAGGGGGGAAGAACTAGCAGGCCACTTTCTGGCAGTAAAAGATGCCATCCACGACCTGGTAAGCTCCTCATGCACCTCTGGGAAGAAAGGCATCAGGGCAGGGCGCTGAGAACCAGTGTGCGCCACCCCAAGAAACCAATCGTCCAAAATTGGTGGAGGTTTCCACTCGAGCTGTACCCTCTCGGTGGCCCGGGAAAGCATAGCCGCCATTTCTGGATCCGATTCAGGCATTGCCACCGTCTTGGAGGGTGGCAGCGCAGCCAAATATTTCTCTCCAGAAAGCTCCCCCTCCGATGCAGTGATCGACATCCGGTCGTCGGGAGGAGCGCCAAAGGATACCACTGGAACGTTCTTTGAAGAAGGCCCAGCGCGTTCCTTCGGCAGCTAGACTGGCTGCAGAGCGCAAGAGGAGCGATAGTCTCCTGAGGGTTTGCCACCACTGTAAACGAGCTAGATCGCGGCAGAGGCAACGGAACTCCGCCCCTTTCGAGGTAACGGAGCCTGGTCCGCAGCTCTGAAATGGTCAACTTCCCGCAATGGGAACATGAGTCATCCACGAAAGCCACCTCAGCGTGCTTAATGCCCAGAGACGTGAGGCAGCAATTGTGACCATCACCCGGCGCCAGGTAACGACCGCATCCAGAAACGCACGGGTGAAACGGCATCTTTAAGTGGTGGAAAGAGTACTAAGAAATTGGACTTAAGTAAAAGTATTGCTACTTAAGGAATAATTTACTTGAGTACAAGTAAAAGTACTGAAAAATAATATAACTCAAGTAAGAGTAAAAAAGTAGTTTGCTGAAAAACTACTCAAGTTACTGCTTTACAAAGTACTTTAGTATTATTTTTCAATTTTTACCCAAAATGAGACGATGTGAGTATTATGGAGCAGGGTTAACCCTAACCCTAACAACTCATGTACTGTAATGTCTGTTTCACACATAGACTGTATAAAAACATGGACGTAGTGTCTGTGACGTCACCCGTAGTTTTCCGAAGAGCGTTTTTCAAGCTCAAAGTGGGTGGAGACGGCCGTCGCCATCTTGGCCGCGCGTCACCGTGCATCACTCCTGGATAATCGAAAATGGGCAAAGAGGCGGGAGCTGGTTGCTGAAACCACGCCCACCTAGCTCGACGGTGGTGACACAAGCGGTAATCCACCTTCCACTCAAGTGGCCACGCCCTTAATTATGCAGAACTTTAAGGCTTAATATAATTTAAACGGATGACTTATAAAAAAATTCACCCCCCCTCACAGTTGTCATGAAGGGCAAAATTAGCTATATAGACCAAAATAATTTTTTGAACCAGGCTGTAAACATGTTTTTTTCTGCTGTAAAGTTGTAAACTTGTTGTTCTGATGTAAAGTAACATGCAGAGTCTATGGGATTGACTCCCTTTTGCAGCCAGCCTCTAGCGGCCAGTTGATGAATTACAGTTTAAGTCACTTCCGTGTTGGCTTCACGAGAGAGAGCGGGAGGTGGCCACTTGGTTTCACAAGTGAGACACAGGAAATCCCTTATATGGACAAATGCATCAGATATCACTACAGCTGAATAACATGCAGATAGAGACGCTTTGACTGATGAAACGTGGAAGACAATAAACACACAATTGCAATGCAATGCTAATTGACATAGCTTGTATCACAGTATAGAAGTTTATAAAAAATATTTTCTGTCTGTGATAAGAAGCAACATGGAACCACAGAAGCTAACTGTTTCAAACACGACTGATGTTATATCGTGATTTTGGAGCAAAACATGATATTAGTCTCATAAATTGTCATGTTTGACGCTATGTTAAGCAAACATACCACCTATCCCTGTTGCCAGGAGCAACTGTTTTATAACTAATTTTGAAAAGTTCATTCATGTATAAGATTATGTGGTTGTTTTTTAAGAAGGGCAAAAGCAAAGAAGGGTAAGTGAAGGTTTAAATGAAAAGAAAGCGTTTAAAACGGGGTGAATAGAAAGGTGCCAGTAAAAAATTATGTGGGGTATCATTTGAATTTGAATTATTCCAATTCTTGTGAATTCCTAATTTCAATTCCAGTAAGGTAATAAATAAATGAATAAATAAATAAAAAATAAAAAATCTTAGATACCATCTTATTACAAAATATTTCATAGTTATCTGAATACTATGTGAATGAAGATCAACAGGCTAAAGAACACTTACACAAGGATGTGTGTGCAGCAGAGAAAACAGCCCTTGAGTCTTCTTGTCTTGAATGGTTTAAAATCACATTGAAAGTGTAGTTTGTTATAATAACACAAGAAGACTCGTGCACTGTTTTCTGTACTGCACACATAGGGGCTTAGCCATTATTTCAGAAATGAGGGGGACAGAAATGTGAAAAAAAAGAATGACTTGTCTAATTGACAGGCTTTTTTTTTTTTCTAATGTCTTTTAATTGGCTAAGAAATCAAATACACTGCTGGGCGATAACCAATCGTTTGTATTCTATAATATTTTTTTCTGTATTTTCCTAATAACAATTTTAGAATTGGTTTATACAAACATAATAAGGCAGAATAGTTTATATACTGTAATAAATGTTATGTAAATTAGCACTGCATTATTAATTTACTATTTATTACCTGGAAATGACCTGAAATTACCTTTATTTAAGCTACAGCTATAGCGGGATGCCTTTGTTCATATTAGGGATTTCCTGCACGTCATAAGTTATTATATATTACTTCTACTAGGCCATTTTGGACTTTCTGTGCGAGAGCGCCCTCCGGCTTCGAGTATGAATGAAACATGCACTACATGTTCACATCGTCTCATTTTGGATATGAATAAATCGTCCGGTCATACATAGACTATCTAGTTAATATAAATCATGGTTGATCTTTCAGCCAGATGCACGTAAAAATGCATGCGCTCTTATTTCAGCAAAATTACGATTTAAAATCAGAGCATAGCTCACATTCACTAAAACATTGAAAGCTATGCTGATTCAAAATGACAACTCCGGTGATTGACAGTCAAACCAAAGCGCGGTTTGAACGCCCCACCCCCGCAGCGGAACTAGAAGCTTTGATTGGTTTTGCACCTAAGTCAGACCTGTCTGTTATTGGCTGAAGCGCAGGGCTCCACCCCAGGAGTTTGAAAAGTGCCCGTCAAACACCAGCTCGCTGTTTCTCCATCTGCGCCTTCTTTGTCTATGTTTTTTTGTACTTTGTACTTTTGGTGAAAAATAAATGTAGCGAAGTTGAATACTTTAGTTTTATTTTACTCAAGTAAAAGTACCACAATTTAATTATACTCAAGAAAGTAGAAAAAATTTAAAAATGTACTCAAGTACTGTAACGAAAGTATTTGTAATTAGTTACTTTCCACCTCTAATCTTTAAAAAGACGATCCATCGTCTTTACAAAGATGCACACGTGTAGCTCTTTTAGAGAAATAAGCTCTTTCAGGGAAATTCTCTTTTAGGTGCTGAGATGCAAAGGGGGAGATTGCCGCTTGCAGCAGGACAGGGGGTAGTGAAGCCTGAAGTGTGCAACCCACTCGACACAGGAACGACCACCGCTGAAGCGCCGTCCGCCAACACAAAAGCTCCCTCAGAGCGCATTGAACTCGTTTTCACATGAAGGTTGTTTGCAGGAGCAGAATGATGTTGTCACTCGGCTCCCAAGCGAAAAGCTGGTATGCGTTGCACCTGCTGCCTATGTATGCTCACGCTGTCATCAGCGGCAGCTGGATGCAATCATCGCATGCCAATGTGCATTGGCTCGTTTAGTTTACACTCGAAGTAGATTGGTCTCTCGAAGCAAGATCCCAATTCGAAAGGGAACTAACACTAGCTTCTCTAATCTTTTTGTATTCTATCTGTTTTCTTTTTATTTATTATACAATTAACAAAAGCAAAAAAAGGCCTCTAACACTAGCTTGCTCTGTTCTTTTTCTTTTTCTATTCTATCGGTTTTCTTTTTATTTATTATATAATAAAAAAAAACCTTGCTATGTGTACTGCGTTAAGCTAACTGAGTCTTATTATAGCACTTGCATATCATTGCTCTTTTGTTGATTTGGATTGCTTCCATTGTCCTCATTTGTAAGTCGCTTTGGATAAAAGCGTCTGCTAAATGACTAAATGTAAATGTAATGTAAATGTCTTTTAGGCAAGCACATATGTACCATATATATATATACGTACCGTACCCACTGAATAAAAATAAAACATGGTAATTGCGACTTTTTATCTCACAATTTTTACTCTTTCTCGCAATTGCGAGTTTATATCTCGTAGCTAATTCTGACTATTACATTTTTTTTAAATTCAGTGGCAGAAAAAGGCTTCCATAAGTACCAGATATGGGTGTCATGTCACAAAATATTACAGTATAATACGACTGAATTTGTATATAACGTGATCATCATTTAATAAAAACATTGTAAGTTACTAATTCTAACACTTTCATTTCCACATTTATTCAAACAGCACATAAATTAGGGCCTATATACAAAAAGCAAGCAAAGAACATGACTGACTTCTGTCTAGCGTGAGTTTAAGCACGCTCAAAAAAATCCCCCGTTATAATCAATAAAGCTGCTTACAATGTCAAATGAATCTCTTTCTTGCATCGTACGCAAGTACATTTCCACTTTGTTGTTTATGATGAGAGAATTCGCGAGAGTTTAGAATTCAGTCAGCGTGCGCGCGCTCAACACATCTCGGCGTTTCAGCGATGACTCATCTGAATGCCTCTGATTGGCCATTGCATTCATAAGCTCAACAGAATCATTTGTTATAATGCAGAACGCTGTAAAAACGCATAATTTGCTGCATCATTAGCAGATCTAAATTTAATGCCGCAATTGACACTTTTCATTTCGTTTTCACTTTATTCGTGACATCCTTAATATAGTTTAATTGTACAGGGGCATATTTGTCCAGTTTGGTGGCATTTTTGCCCCAAGCCCCCGTTAATTTCAGACCCATGGTCATACATGTCGGACATAGCAAAAGTAACTTAGGGGGCGGGTCTTTGCGAAGGTTCAGTTGGTCTTCTTTCTTGCATCCATTTGCAACTGTCCATTTCTTGCCATTTTATTTGAATTTATTCTGAGAGATGACCTGTACCTGCTCTGGAAAGCCATCCATACTCTTCTGGCCTTTAGTCTGGATGAAGCAGCGGGCACTCTGAGGCCGGGGGTTGGTGGTGGTGATGGGCATGGGCAGAGGTGACTGGTACTGCTGGATGGACACCTTGTTGATGGCCCCCTCATACTGCTGGTCACGGGCCGTCCGGTGGGGAGGGTTGGCTGAGGTTATCATCATAGTCTGTTGTTGATGGTGATTGTGAACACCAGGCTGTGGGCAAACATTAGGCAAACCTTTAATGATGTACTGTAGACTTCATACAGACGGCAAACCTTCATATCATTACAGGCACAAAGACATGTATTAGTTACACAGGACCATATGACATTTTGATTTCCCTATTTGATGTATTAATTTAATTGGACTTTTCTTCATAACACTAAATGTGTCAGCAGTAGCAAAATGTTCCACAATACTGAGTGACAACCTAAAGACATTCACCGATAGACTGAGGTTGCTAAGGAGACCGAGCGAGAACACGCGTTGTGAAATGAATCACGACAGCAGGTAGTAATTAACCCTGGCATTTGAAAAAATTAACATGGCAATCACGATATAACAGAGATGTCTATCTCACAGAGAACAGGTTAAGCCAGAGGAAACTAAAGAGTAGAACATGACAGGGTTTAATACTTAGAGACATGTGGGTGTCTCTCTAAAAAACGCATTGTGGAAATAATAAAACTATAATAAGATCCAGACTAATGCAATGAATCATTTCAGTGCAAGCACGGCTTATGGAGAAAAAAAACAGGATCATATCAGAGGTGAGAAAGTTTTAGCATTATTCCTGACAATTTATCTTATTATCTGAGACCAGGTAGAGATAATTTTGCAGGATTTTTATTTATTTATTTTTTTAAATTTTGAGTTGTTTATATATATATATCATATAGAAGAATATATATCATATATAGGCTCAAAGAAGCTGTATTTATGTAACCAAAAATACAGTAAAAACAGTTATATTTTGAAATACAATTTTACTGTAGATTACCAGATAAAATAACTTTTTCTTATATA